GATGTTTTCAGATCCTCCAGGAAAATTCCCAGTAGTGGAATAGCTGGTTCAAATGGGATTTCCAGACCAACTTTTCTAAGGAGTCTCCACACTGATTTCCATAATAGTTGCACCATTATGGTTGCAGTCTACATTCCCACCAGCAGTGGAGAAGGGTTCCTTTTCCCCCACAGCCTCTCCAAACACTGGCAGACTTCTGATTAAACTCTTCAAGAGTCTGAGCCCTGCCTGGCAGGGTTTTGGGGCTTTAAAGGGAACGCAGGGTGGGGATGGGGACACAAAGAGAGATTCAGAGCATAGGATTGGAGGGCTGGGTGACGTCACGGGTTGCTAAGGAAGTGTAAACATTTCAGGTTACATCACAAAGCCATCCATTATACAAAGCATGGGTTATACAGAGGAATAAATGTTCTGTTACATTTTAGGTTACTTAGCAAGGCCATCAGTTACATAAAGCAGCAAAGACAGGGATTTATGTAAAGGAAGAAGGTTTTTTTTTTTTTTTTTTTTTGGCAGAACAGGGGACTGAACTCAGGCCCTTGCGCTTGCCAGGCAAGCGCTCATTCTACTGAGCCATCTCCCTGGCCCAGAAGTATTTTGTTATTGGGCTTGCCCGATATGTCCCCGATTCCAGTGGGCCTTTATTTGAAATTTTAATTCCCCCTTCAATAAGAAACAATTTTCATACAAGTTTGGAGGATAAATTATATTTTTTTTTCAATTTCAGAATGTCAGCATTGGACCAGGGATGTAGCTCAGTGGCAAAAGTGCTGGCCCGGCAAGTACAAGGTCCAGAGTTCGACTCATAGTACTGGGGGGGGGGGTGTAAAAAAAAAATAAGACCAGAATGTCAGCATTGGAAAAGCCCTTAATAATCTATTAGTTCAACCCTGCATTTCAGAGTGGGAAACCAGGGCTGAGGGAGAGTGGTGTTGCCTTCCCACTAAATGAGAATGGTAGGGGCCAGGGAGATAGCTCTGTGAAACAGCGCTTTAAGCGC